ATTTCTTTAAAGGTTCCCAGGTTTTAATAAAATACATCATATGCGGTTTTTTGCCGATCTTAAACATTGCATTCGTGGTATCGCAACCTGTTAACACATGCAACGCCGGCAAACACTCACAAACTCCACTTAGTTTCTACACTATTTCAGATATCGAAATAATCTGTTTTTTATGTCCTTGTCATAATTTCATAAAAAGGTATTTTTCTTCCAAAGAGCTGGCTTTAATAAATTTAGAATAATAGTAAATAAGTAATATGAGAACGTCAGTATCTACAGACTTCACCAAAACTTTTTTTATCTGATATTCATATAAAACATGGAGTATAACTCGTGTATCAGCCTCATCATGATTCGATTTCGAATCGTCCAATTCGATTACACCGTCCTTGTTAACAGAAAAGCATAACTCTGGTTTTTCAAAACCACCAGCATGATCAGAGTTTTTTCTATTTGTAAGTGATCAACTGAATGTTCCAGAAGGTAAGCGGTCACAAATTTTAATAGGGATCGTTTATTTTCTAACAATCTCAAAAAATTCCTGAACTTCACCACTTTTCTATGATTTCTATGATTTCACAGATGCGTATACATATGAAGTTTCTAGAAATTAGACATTAGATATAGGTTCCGTTGGCTACGGATTCTAAGTCCATTCCTTAGATAACGTCCATTGGCCAGTTATGTCACGATTATAAATGTGAATGCTTAAAAGAGGGCTTAAAATGCTGCAGTGATTGTTCCTGCAAAAATTGTTAGAACAATGTTCCTGATTTATATTTATACGATGATAACGAAGAAGAAAACATTTAAAGTAAGTTTCATACACAACTCTTTACTTACTCTATATTTATAGATTTTTTAAATTTATTTCTAGGTGTAACCAAAGCTAACGCAGATCATTTTCAGACTGGTAGCCGCTCTTACCATAAGCGCGCATTGCAAGACTCCTAGAAAAAAATTCATATTTTTATAACCGTTAAAGTTAGCGACTTAATTTCCTTTTTAAAAACTTTTTTAATGTTCTGACTGCTTCTAACTCTATATATATATATGTACAAAAATTTTCAATAATTCACATAGCTAGCCGCACGGTGAAGTTTTGGATGCATAATTTTGATAATTTTATTTTCTTACATTAAAAAAAAACTTTAAATATTTTTGAAATTGCTGAATTACCATTAGGAGCGCTTACATTTCAAGTATAAGACTTGAAAAAATCAGAATTTTAGATTGTATATTGGAATTAATACAACGGTTAATGTTAAGAGAAACATAGTTTTTCTAATTCGAACCCAGTCACGTTTAAGAGCCATTTACAAAGTTCGGTCCTGTTAAAAAGAGTTGTACATTTCCATTTCCAATGCCCCAGAGTGTTTTCTACAAGATGGTATAGGTTTCATTTAGTTATACCTTTGAATCACTAAAAGTCATAATTTCATTGCGAGTTTACTCCACTAATAGTACCTACCTAACATTGTAGATATAATTTGAGTGTGCTCTACTGCCTTATGTTTCATTAAATTTTAATTCTTGTTACCAGAAGTTTATTAATGTTTACCTATAGGTAATGAAAGTTTTATATATGATGATATTTCTGTACGCTTGGCAATGTCGCAAATTTGCGATTTAAATGGATATTTAGGTGCAAGCGTACCAAAGTGGAACTGAGTACATAGTAAACGGGTAATCGCTTTCATTGCAACATTATTGAATAATGAGAATGAGCCAAATGACTAAGACCTCAACAAAGGAGACCGATTATCTATTTATTTTCCGTTTTATTGCACTATGTAAAATTCAGTGTAATTTTATTCAATTATCAATACAATTATTAATAGTTGGCATTAAAATATTTAATTTTGGTTTAGATTTATCAAAATTTTGAAAAGTTTTTTTAAATAAGGTCCTTTTTGCCTTTACAATCATCGAAACAAGTAAATAAACATATAATTTTATTTTACCTGCATCAAAGATAATGGTGCAGATTGTTTATTTTATATTTTCAGCCAATTTTTTGAAACCCCTATTCAACATTATTGAATAAAATACTTTTTCTACAAATCCATTTAAGTTGAGTTTTTCAACGTTTGATTTCGCTGTTAAAAATGTCATTTTATTAGAAACGTTTATCAATGCATTTTAAATTAAAGATTCAATTTTAACATGATTTGGTGAAAACATATTTTTTCTTTTTCTACACCCACATGGATATTAGCTTGTATCCACGCACAGATTATGAAACGAAAAAGTATGATATTGCGTTCAACTGAATGAATATATTGCATATCCATTCTTGGTAGTGAGAAAACAGCAAAAAAATTAAATTCACCAATCATAGTGCATATTTTGGACACCCAACTACTGTTATTTTTAAAATTTTAAATAAATGACAATTCTGTCAAACTAATTGTCAGTATATGTTTTAGTTTATGAGATTAAATATACATTAAAATGTGTTATTTTTGTGTAAATAATACCATTTTTATTTTTATTTGGTACGCATTTGAAAAAAAAAATACGTTTTAATCAAACTATATGAAACCAATTTAATTACGAGTATTATAACTAAAATCATAAAAGTGGCGTTGGAGCTGTGGGCAGAGCATCTATTCTACCTCCTCGTGAATAGCCTAAGTTTAAATCTGGACTCGGGGTGAATTTTTTTTTTTCATGTTTATTTTATTTTATAATTTAGTAAAATTCACAAATGAGTTTATCCTAATAACTTAAAATAATTTTTTAAATTTATAGATTTTCGTTAGGGGTCGTAGAAAAAATATACTGTACAACTCGAGTGGATTGTCCATTTTGCTCAAATTTCGTCTTCTTGCGATATGGCCATTGTATCACTCTTGTTGCAAAAATTACTATTTTCTACGACTATACAAAGTAGACTTTTGCTCATTCAAATCTAACTTGAAAGTTGTCGTTTTCCGCAATTTGTCATAGTTTGAATTTATTGGCGCACTCGTGCTCCAAAGTTATTTTCGCACACGCTTATTTCCATTAAAAAGGTAGTCATTATTAAAGCTAATCACTATTTTAAAATAAAACGAAGACTAATCTAACTAAATATTTTAGTTAATGGACAGGACATCTAATATTCAAACCCATGTCCCTTAATATTTAAAAATAATTGGAATATTAAAAATAGATTACCTCGATTTTAAGCTGTAGGTAAGCAGGCAACACAACATACACGTAGCACACTAGCAATGACTGCCAAATAGATAATGAAATAAAATTTAAATTTGGTAATATCGTCTGACAAAAATCTTGTATGTGAAAAGCCATTTTGACATATAATCGAATTGTAATCAAAGTAAGTATAAAAATGATCTACTTCATGTAGCCAGTTTAACTGATTGCGAAAAGTTGATTATGTCACCAGTTACAAAATTAAAATTTATAAAAATGCCTTTTATTGATTTTTAAATAAAAATTTACATTGCTTTTGAAAAGTTATATCGAAGAAAGGTTGGCAATAATTATATAAAAATAGATTTTGTCAGGAAACGTAGTAATTCTGGTTCCGTCGCTAATTTAAAACGTCTTGATCCATTCTAAATTTGTACAAAATCATCAAAACACTGTTTTACATGACACTGGCATGACTTTATAGAAAAAAAAAAAAACAAAAATATGTATCCATGTACTTGCAAAATAACACACTTTCTTAAAAATTAGTTTAAAAAGATAATGAAAACTGTCCTAATGATACTTATTTGAAAATTAGAACTATCAGATTAGTATGAAGTTAGCAATAGTCATGTTAGACGATTTGAAGTTTACCTACAATAACAAGGTATTTATGTTCATCAAAACTTCTCTAAATACAGGATAACAATATGAATTTATTATAAAGAAACACGAAAAAAATGTCTTATAATGTGTAATTTAACGTTTAGCTAGCTCCACAACACAACAAGTGGTGGTTGAAATGAACTAATTATATCATTTTACAGGTAGTTATGCAACTAACAATGCAATGAAATAGAAGTCGGTGATATTTCATGTCGCAGTGATTTTGTCACTGATATAATTACAGTAGTACGAGAAATATGGACAAAGCGCCCCACACTTTTTTCACGATAATACTAGTATTTTCCATTTATTATTGTTTTAAGCTTATTTGAAAAATTATTTTTAACTTTTTAGTTTGATATGCTCTAAAAGCGTGTTTTTTTAGTTTTTTTAAACTATATTTATTTTTCACTTTTTAGTTCGAATTATAAAAGCGTGTTCTTTAGTTTTTTCTAAACTATATTTATTTTTTACTTTTTAGTTCGATTAATTATTAAAAAAAAATTTAAGTTGAAATTGCTGAAAAAAAAAATTTTTTTTGCAGTTATTGGGCACTTCCGGTTATATCGAAAATAGACCTGAAGTCGCTTGTTTTAATTTCGACACCCTATGTATTATGACATTTTTGGATTATACTCAAGATGATAGGCAAATTTTATGTAATATTTCCCGTATCATTTTTGACATAGAAACGAGAATATGTCAATAACGCTTAGACTTAGGTTTAGAACATGATACATAAAATCTGCCTAGATAACAAATGATTTTAAGTACAATTAAATGGATCTAGATTTATAGCTTTTCTCCAGGACACCCTTCCTCAGCTCATAACTTATTTTTTGACTTCATAGTGTTTCACCATCACAATGGTAGAAAATAGTCATCTGTTATCTAGATATATTTTCATAAAACTTATTTCAATAGTGGACTAATCAGGTAACCATCACCTTCACCTGATATACTCTCTTTGAATTTTTCTACGTACTTAACTCAAAGATTTAGTTTGTGTTAAACATAATTACATAAGAATGCAATTTAACTATTTACCAGAGCTCAATATCCACATAGACTGATTAAATTATTTCAAACGTTTGTTTTAGAGTTTATTACAAAAATACTTAGTTTTATGAAAAACTTATTATGTAAGAGTTTTTATGTAGCTGAAGCAATTAACCATTGTATTTTGGTTGCAGAACAAAAGGTGTAGAAGGTGAAAAATTTGTAAATAACCAAAGAAGGAACGAAGTGATCTTTCAGAGAAAATCTTGTTACATCATGCAAGACGATGATCTCCAACCATTACTGACAGTATTAGAAGCAATGAATATTGCCGCTAGTTTGAAAATGTCTTCTAAATATACACAAAAAGAGAAGAAAAGTAGGGTAAGTTCAACTTCTATAAACGTAAACACTAAAATTGAAACAGTTTTAAACATAGATTGATGGAATTATGATACATATCCACCAATATTTTTCTTTTTTCTTCTTTTTTTTATTTATTTCTCATATCTCTCTGCCTCCCTGTTATCAATTTCTATCTCTTCAATACGTTTAATCCATTTTTCCTGGACCTTCCTCTTTATCTTATTCTGGATCTTTCATGCGGGTAAATCAATTTTTCTTGCGGTCAAATCAAGAATTTTGTTACAATCAAATCGTGAAATCCGAAGGAAATTAACATGTTGTCTTATTAACAAAAAAGGAGGAGGTTCTCAATTCGTCGCGATGTTTTTTGTTTATGTATGTTCAGCGATAATGTTTTAACACGGTGTCCGATTTCAATGATTCTTTGTTTTGCTAGAAAGGGGTTCCTTCAGGGGTGGTCCCATATATATTTGGTCAAAATCTAATAATTGGGTCCATGAGAAAATCCTCAAACTCTTCATTTTTTATGTATGTTTAGCTATAATGCTTTACCACCTTGTCCGATTTATATGATTCTTTTTGTGTTAGTAAGGGGGTACCTCAGGGGTGGTCCCATATAAATTTGGCACGTTTTTGAAGTCGGTTTTTTTAAATTTTTAATTTCTAATACTTGTTAAATATTATGGTTCTTAGTAGATCTACGTCTTATCTCGTTTATAGTGTTTTTTGTCTCACGCAAATCGAGCCATTAATAGCGAATGTTATTGCCTTTTTGACAATCACGCAATTTTTGACATCGATGGCTCCTTTGTGTCTTCGAATCTCCAGATGCTCCTTTCACATATACCCTGATGCTACGTCACTTCCTCATTTACTGTTCTTCGTCTTCGAGTCTCCAAAGGCTCTTTCAACTTCTCTCCTGATCCTACATTACTCCTTCAGCTCTTCTTCTATGACGTAGCTTTTTCCTCGGCTCTTCTTCTTCGTCTTTAAGCCTCTAGAGGGAATTTCAACGTCTCTCAACCGAAGAACTCGATGGCTATGTTACCAGCTGTTGTTTTCATATTTCATCTACTTTGGTCTCCATTCTCTGTACTGAAGAAGTTGAGTTGTCAAATAACTTCTTTTAATATTTATTATTATGGAGGTTACACATGCATACAAATCTTTTTTATTTTAAAAAACCGATAGGCTGGTAGAGTTCGATTACAATAAAAAGAACACTGCTCAGTCATAACCAATATTTTAAATTTAAAATATTATTACTGTGACTATCAATAAATAAAGTAATTTGTTTTATTTAAAAAACAATTATTATGTGCCTATAATATTAATAACCCGTCACTTAACCTAGTTGGCGGCAATCGATAACAAGTGACTTCGCCAACAGATGACGCAGCTGTATATAAGAAGAGCAAACATGATGGGCGCTCCTCCACCAAAAATTAATTTTACATAAGAGGCAGTTAAAAAAAATTGTAAAAAAAAATGGTTCAGGCCAATCGTTGTAAAAATGAACCAAGAATTTCGCTAAACCGCGAAAAACTTATATTTTTAAAGAAAAACAACAAAAATTTCAACTTTTTAATAAATTTAATTTTTTGGCTCTTTACCGGCATTCTATAACAAATATCTTAACTATTTTCTAAATAACTTTTTTTCAAAAAGATTACCAATTTTAAACAGGACCGAAGATTAACATAGTTTTCATTCCGATACTAATTCTATTAAAACAATGATACCAGTGAATATGGCAACGCTGCTAGTCTTTGAAGCCCGTGGTTAAAAGGGTAGCCTGCCGTTTAGTTAAATTTGTTAATTCCTGTGTCGAAAAATAGGTAGTTGTTTTTGAAGAGGTGCGAAATTATTGTGATCGTCTTAGTTTGTTGTTGAGGCGTTGTTAGGTTTTTGTTTAATTTAGTTTTTAGTTAATTTATGAAATGAAAAATTCTGAAAGGCAAAAATGCACAGCTGACAAATTTCTATTTTATTTGTTTGCTGCCAGAGTTAGTAAATCCTAGAAAAATACGACATGTGCCAATTAGGGAAAAGAGATTGTCAAGAATTTTGCACGCTTAAAAAAATGTGTAATATACAGGGTGTTTCTAAATACATGCGACAAAATTCAGGAACTGAGTGCTCGTATGAAATTAAGATGGGTCTCTTCTATAACAAGTGGTGACTAAAATTGAGTTTTTATTTTTTTTCCAAAATTTCAGTAAAGCTAGAAACTTGAAATTCTGTAATCGCAAAGGACTAACCACGGGTATTTTTTTCAATATTTCTGTTACATTATAGGGGTGAAATTAGCAACACTTACTTTATTTCATATCAAAACTTTTTTTCGAGATAAACTTTTATGAAATCCTTGATTTATTTAATTTTTTTTTATTCTTGAATTTTTTTCCCAAAACCAATAGCTTCAGAGAAAAAAAATTAACACCCTAATTTATTATTATTTTTTTTTTAATAAATTGAGTGGAAAACAGTGTAACGGACTTGTAACTATCGTATCGTAAACTCTGTCATTATTCGTTTCTTGCAATAATTTACACCAGTTTACACCAGAAGATAGCACTTAACGAAGCGTTTTAGCCACTAATTTTGGCGAATTTTAAGAAATTATTAACAAGACATTAGAGGCTTAAATTTGGAGATTATAATAAGAATAGTGCTGTCGAGGAATGCATTTATTTTCATTATGATATTTCAAAATTAAAGCCCTTTTAGTTTTTTTGGAAAACATTAAAATATATGCATATTATAGATATTATTGCCTAATTTATTTTGCCAAAATTTAAATATTTTGAGATATTCTTGTCCGATAATTATAAGGGGTATGAACACCTTAAGATTGAAAGATAATTAACTTTAATTCATGAGATGCAAAGCATCATAATTGTCGCGTCACAAAAACCACTTGCTGCCAAGAGAAAACTTTGATTCAACAGTATTGTATATTTTGTGTTGTAAAAGAGAAAAAATTAACATTTCGTGTTTTAATAGTTATTTTTTTAATTTAATAATCTATGTGATAAAAATTTTTTTTAATACAGACTTTAAAAAATTGTTATATTAATATACTTATTTAATTATATTTGTTGTTCCTTTAATACAATAAATACAATTTACCTATCTCCAATTCATCACTTTCGGTATCCATATACCTAGGGTCCGATTACAATTAGAAAAACACCGCTACGTATTTCGAATTTCCAATATACAGGGTGTCCCGAAATTAGACGGTCATATTTTAACAGCGTAATCTACATCCTACAAGTATTAGAAATTAAAAATAGAAAAAAACCGAATTCAAAAACGTGCAGATGCCGTCACCCAGAGCTGGGACGAATCCTCGAAAAAATGGATTCGAATCACGAATCCGAATCACGAGATGTGATTCGAATCACGGATCCAATGTTCGAATCATTTTTCAAAAAAAAAAAAAAAAAAAAAAAAAAAAAAAAAAAAAAGATTCGAATCAAGTGATTCGAATCCTTTTTTTCGGATCACGGATACGAATCACGAATCAGTGTTATACTGTGATAATAATTATATTTGCTTTCGAAACTAATACTGTTTTATATCTCGGTCCTAAAATATTTAACGCACTTCCGGTGGAATTTAAAAACCTAAATTCGATAGGTCTTTATAGATCTAAATTGCAATAATGCATATTAACTAAACAAGGATAAATATTTTAAGATTTTATTAATTTAAATATAACTAAAATCTAAAATCATTTAGCTAAAAAGAACTTTACTTATTTGCAATTATCCAATTATTTATGTATATGATAATTATTTATAAAATATTCAATGCTGTAGCTAGTTTGTATCTATAATAAATAAAAAAAAACAAGTATTAGAAATTAAAAATTTAAAAAAACCGACTTCAAAAATGTGCAGATGCCGTCATCATATCTTAACCAAATTTATATGGAACCATCCCTGAGGTACCCCCTTACTAACAAAAAAAGAATCATATGAATCGGACAAGGTGGTAAAGCATTATCGCTAAACATACATAAAAAATGAAGAGTTTGAGGATTTTGTCATGGACCCAATGATTAAATTTTGACCAAATTTATATGGGACCACCCCTGAAGTACCCCCTTTCTAACAAAAAAAGAATCATTAAAATCGGACACCGTGTTAAAGAATTATCGGTGAACATACATAAAAAAAAAATAAAAAAAATATTGCGACGAATTGAGAACCTCCCTCCTCCTTTTATAAAGTCGGTTAAAAATAGGAGTAAAAGTTTATATAAACGTAGGTCCGAAAACGTTTCGTTTTCGAGATACAGGGTGTTACAAGTGAAGTCCAGATGAAATATTTTCTAAAATTTCTTTAGTTACCGGTTTTTCAAAGTTAAAAAAAATAAAATTTCTAATTCTACAGACCTACTAATTATTGTTTACACTTTCGAATAAGGTAACATGCTTTTCTCTTGAAAATGGCGCGTCCTAGCGAGATGCAACAAATGTAGCTTTATTATACAGAAAATATTGGTTTTCCAAATTTTATAGTCAAAAAATCTGATGTGTCCAACACATGACTTTCCTATATAGTTATTATAGGCTTTTTCTGGTTATTTTGTACAAATTATTGCAGTACCTCTATAAATGTTTAGAGGATAAACTAAATATATACATTTTCCACATACATCTATCTACCTCGAAACATTTTTCTATAGGTATTCATTGAAAACGAAAATACTGAAAAATTTAAATTTAGCAATTTTCCTACAATTTTTCCATTACGGTCCATTTTAGAAAAATCATGTATGAACAAAAATTATAGAGATCGATATCGCAAACAACTTTTAGTTTAGTTTAGAATTTTGCACATTTTGTCAAATTTCTCGAATACGGACCATTTCAGGAAATTTTGACATAAAGCAAAAATTATAGATAATAATATTAGAAGTAACTTTTATTTGAATAATTTTCTTCTCCAAACATAAATAACAGATATATTCAATAAAATATAAAAACGGCCTCCCATAAAGTACCCCCCAGATGTTCCGACTTTGTCCAAAATCTAATTATTTCAGGTCAGGCCGAAATAAAACTTAAGTTTAAAATTTAGTGTTTTTCTGTGTATCGGTTCATGAGTTATGGTGGATATAGACACACAGACACACACAGCAATTTTACCCTAAGCTCCCCCTAATTTACCCACCTAAGAAGATGATCAATAATTGGGGTTTAGTCCAATAAATGAAGCGTAAAAAGGTAAGTATTTGTAACAAATTTTACCTAATTATCTTTAACGTTTAGAAAATATTTACAAAAGTGTGGTATCAGGACTTCACCTTTAACACCCTGTATCTCGGAAAAGAAAAGTTTTCGGACCTGTTTATATGAACTTTTACTACTATTTTAGGATGTAGATTACGCTGTTAAAATATGACCGTCTAATTTCGGGACAACCTGTATATCATCTATAACTATCAATAAATAAAAAATATTTGAGATGTTTGGTTTAAAAATGGTATTCCTACATTCGTATATTAACAAGCCACTAACCCCCAGTAGGCGGCGATAGCCAACGAATTATACCTGAATTGTAATCGGGCCCTTCAGGGTACGACACACAACATTGCCAAATTTATGTAGCGAACAAGGTTACAAATACTTTAAAGGGAGGTCGTGAGATTCGTTCGGTGTGACGTCAGAAGGGACTGGATTGCTCTTACAGCGAAAAAGTTTACCGACGTGGATCCGGCTTAATAGTTGATTTATATAATTTATAATACAAAATAACGTTAATAATAGTTTCTTTCAGATACGAGAAATTTTGGATTCGATGGGCCTCTGGAACCACAGAAAAACTCGGACAGATGGCTTATCTGGAGGGGAGAAAAAAAGACTTTCCATTGCTTTGGAGCTGCTTAAGAATCCAGACGTTATGTTTTTTGATGAACCCACAAGGTAAAGAATCGTTGACCTAAAACCCTCCTTAGTACATAATTAACCCATTTGAGTTACACCTCTCTATATTAATTATTCACTCTAAGAATTTGATACGGTGACTGAAAGCCACGGTAAAGGCACAAGAATAAATAATAACCAAAAGGATATATCTCACTTTATTCCTTTGTAGTTGATGCCGACGAGCTATGACCTCGTCTTTTAGTTATTACTTGTATTCCATAGGCGCACCGAAAAAAAGGTCAGGAAAATAAAAAAAATATTGGGTAGCTATTGATTTATTTTTTAAGTTCATAGAGTACAAATATAGGTAAGTAAAAGATTTATATATGTAAAAAAATATTTATTAATCTTTCCAAATGACAACCATTTTGTCTTTTATAGTTTTAAAATTTCGGTTAATACATTTAAGAGTATAAAATAATCTTACTCTATTGAATAATTTTATTAAATAAATATGTGGAAACTTGTATTTCTACAAATACTTTGAAACGTATCTATTACCTTTTTGTGTATGATAATAGTTTCAAAATTTATTTAAAATATTACCTCTAAAAAGAAGATAAATTTTACAAACTCATTGTGTGGAATGTTTAAGTTACGATATAAATCTAAATTGGAGCTGTTATAAGCTTTACAGTAACAAAATAAAGATGTATCGTCCAAATTTTGATAGGTTTTTGAATATTCCTCGCAAATTGTACAAGAATGTATAGATAGGCATTTTTTCATTACGTTACCCGCAAAATACCATTTGAAATTCGTTTCTAACGTGGACTCTTTTTGATAACTATCAATTTTTGGCAAATTTGATGTATGGGGATGTGTTACGAATAAATTTGTATCCTCTTTAATGACATCAGATACTCGTAGAAGCATATTATCCATGTCATTCTCGCAGTTTTGAATTCCTGAAGTGAGTAGCTTCATACAGAACAACTTTCTTAAGGTTCTTCGAAATTGAATGGCTGTTGGATTAGCACAATTACTATTTTGCTGTCTTATAACACCAAACAAACTTTCTAACGGATCTTGGTTTAAACGTCTAGTAAAAAGAAACTTAACGTTTTTTGTTTTAAGAAAATCCCATAAATGAAGAGTGGAGCTAATTGTTATTTTAAAACCTGTTATAAACTTCATTTTTTTAGATACATCCTCACCTAGGTTATTAAAAACTTTTAAGTTGTCCAACAGCAATAACATATCATTTAAAAATGTTAGTTGAAAGTCGAGACCCTTAACGCCAAAATATATTTCTTCCCGTCTGATGTTTTTGATGAGTTTAAAATATCAAATAATTTGTCGATTTTATCAATAAAATCAGCAGTTGTCTGGGCTTCATTAGACAAGTTACCTAATTCGACGAACACATTAAAAGCCGCTGAAACTGTAAGACTAAATACCTGACTTGCATATTTTACCTTTATTTTTTCAAAATTACTAGGAAATATATGCGAATTAGTTAGTTTAGGCGCTGATCTAGTAACTAACGAATTATCACTATTATAAAATTGCGTAATATATGACCAAGAAACTATTTTATTAGAAACAAGAAAAGTATGTTTCAGTAACATGTTTCTCATAGCCTTGATGAGGTGAGGTGTATCGAATATAAAAAAAACTTTTGATCGTCAAAAATAAAATAAAGTCTCTCAGGGGTTATTTGCAAAAAGTTTTTACATTAAATATTATTGGAGCCCATTATTCCTTAACTTTTTAATAGCATCAAAAACTGTATACTTTAACTCTAAACCAGGGCATGTACTATTGTAAAAAAAATAACTCAAAGGTTGTTCCCAATTACAGAAAATCCCCCGACCAACAAGACGGTGGGTGTTCTTGCTGGTTTAAATGCTCTTTTCCCATTGCCGAGATCTTCCACGCGTACAACATAAACAGCACTACGTTTAAAAAAAAATTCCCTTTATGCTTATCTCATCCACACACAGTACACAATATGACTTGTCAGCTTTAATTTTAAGTGTTTTGAACACATTAGAGACTTCCAAACCTGGTGGGATGTCTATCCCACGTAATAAGATTCTAAGGGATTGCGTCCCAGACAGGCAACATAATTTAGTTAGAAGTGTTTTATAAACCTTTGGGCCAGAGAAATATAGTGATAAAAACTTAAATTTAAATTCATCTGAATACCTTCGACCTTTAGCTGATTTTATGCTTTGGGTAATCTGAACAATAATAAATTGTGCGAGTTCTTTAGATGGGCACAGTGAATACGTACAAGTTTTGTACTGTTCGAGAGTGATCGTGTCTTCCAATTTTTCTTGAAGCTTCTTTTCAAGATTGTTACATTTATTGAGAAGGATCTGGTTGTCTTTTTTCAATGCTTTGTTCTCAAATTTCAGGGAATTGTTGATCTCCCTTAGTTGTTCCTTTCTTGGTCTTCGACAAGTTAGTTCCTCTGATGTTTGGACTCCGTGAAGGAAAACTTATTTGAGACCGCTGAATCGATTCTGCCTTATCGGAAGAGTTGCCAATGGTTGAAGCTGATGGTTCCAAAAGCTGATATAAAATACTCGTACATGGCACTTGAGAGGTTTCAGATGCCACTTGAAACGAATTTGAGTGTAACAGCATATTTTCGCAGTATTTGTCTCTTTCCTTTTTGAAGAAAAATGAACATCACAAATTCTATAGCTCTTATGAAGAGTGTCTACTTTGTATAATAAATCTGGTCTATAACACGCTAAGAGCCAAGATTTCGCTCTGAAAAATGATTTACACTTATTTTTCATTTTATTTAACTTGATAGCTTCAGACTTCCATTGTCTGGTATAGAGTATAAATTTAGGGATAACAAGTAAAGATCGGAAGATAAGCACTTAAAAAACAAAATATGGATGCAAATATGCACAAAAAACAGTCAAAATATGCACTAAAAATATATATTTCTGAATTTAAATGTAAATGTAATAAGTAAAGTTGGACATTAAATTAACTAAAATTAACTACACTTTGAGATCGAAACCGGACATTTGGGTATTCAATAAAGTTTAATAAAAAATAGATTATTATCTTTATTAATTTAATAAAATAAACATTAAGGTATGTATGAATAATAAGAGTATAATTAGAGTAATTCCAGGAAGGTATTAAGGATTAAATATAGAAATGCCGAAAATTTCCTAAAGTGTATCATAACAAGCAATTATTAGATATAATTCAGTTTGGATAGGTTATTTCTACCTGGCATTGGTTTTAAATTCTGAAAATTACCTAAAATGTATCATACCAAGAAAATATTAGAGATAATTTAGTTTTTTAGGTCAACAAAGAAACATTTTGATCTTTAAATAAAGATATTTTTGTATATTACTCGCGCCCAAACCATTTATAAATAAATACTGTTAAATCGACTACTTTTCATTGCATTGTTGTTCTTGCTAAACAGCATGTAAACATTATTTTCTACTCATGTACTATCATGTGTTAATTAAATGATAATGTTCAGTTTCATAATGATATTCATTATAGCACTGACACTGACACAATAAAATCCGAAAATAGTCAACGATAAAAATATTTAAGCAAAATAACAGAATAATAATAATAATAAATTCACGATTTCGAAACCACCGCCCGTGCCGGCCGCTACTGCACTGAAAGTTTCTGTGTAGAATATCGGTGTAGGTGTGCTTGAAGGTCACGAGCCCTCGAAGATCACGTGATCGGAGATGTCCTGGTTATTATTTATTCTTGTGGTAAAGGTATCTATAGATATAACGGGTCGGGGCCGTCAGATTTGTACGGTGTCGTATATCTACCGCGTGATGGAAATCAAACTGGCTAACTTCGATTCTATTTGGCCCAAAGACATAATTGTTTACATTTTTATGTGGCAAATCATTATTCCCACCAGATTCTCGTTTATTGCGTCTTTGCCGATTTTATCAGTATGACAAAATTATTTGAAGAAATTACTTTCGAAAAATAAAATTTGATGTGTCCTGTAACTATAATTTTATATTATATAAATAAAAATATGTTTTTAATCAAATTATTCTTTAAAGTTTTAATATAAGCTAAATTTTTTATTAAAAAATCAATATTAATCTAAACAAAATATTAGGGTTTCGAAGAACTCCGTAAATACGGCAACGCTGAATATCTTATTTTACGAATTTACAATTTTTATGAATGAAATGTAGTACCGTAACCAGCCGCAACGTTGCCAATCAAGTCTTAACAGCTATTTTGTATTTCTGACAGTATCTGACAGTTTCTGTGTGACTTATTGATTTATTCATTTATAAAATACTGTTTTTGTGAACTTTTGTGAGAAATATAAAGAATTATGGTACATGCATGTGTAGTGTTCAAAAAGGTAGATCATTTAAGTCGAAATGTATGGTCTCAGCGGTAAGTATTTTTAGGTTAAGATATGTTGTTTTTATTTGAACCAGTGGAGTAGGGCTTGTACAAGATTTGATACAATTTTTTATAGAATTTAAATTATATAGGATCACATAGTAAATTGTTTGAAAAATGATTATCCAATCTAATTTTTCAGACAATTTACTGCAGATTTGATAATATACAATTTAAATTGTACAAGAAATTGTATCAAAAACTTGTGTAGTCTAAAACAGTCTTAAAACAGTTTTTAAAGTGATATTCCTTTTAAAAATTAGTAAATTTTTCTTATACCAATAAATAATTATTGAATAGTGGCAAAGAAAATTTAACGTAAAATGTAGAATACCTTAAAAATGATTTACCTATTGAGCACCTATACATATTTTTTATTACTCTATTTAGGTTCCCGCAAGATCCTGAGAAAAGAAAACTTTGGTTTTCTCTAATATAAATCCTTGAAAATCAGCCCCTTCGTAAAAACCCAGAGTTGTGTTTAGAACACTGTTTTCCTGAAAATGTTTTGGTACGCGCAAATGGTACTAGATATATTAGAAAAGATGCAAACTCCAGACGGTGTGAGGGCTTCCTATTTTTGGATGACTTATCCAATAGGTAAAAATACGAAATATTAATTTTGTGTTTACCTCTAAACATTATTTATTACCTATATGTATGTATATGTATGGGTTTTTAGTTCTGATTCAACTGTTTTTGGAACACCACCTGCTGCAAAAAGAAACGTTGCATTAATAACTAAGCATAAAAAAATTAAATGAAATTTTAGTTAATAAAATTAAAGTATTTTATATATTTAAAACATTATTTTAAAAATTTTTACAGATTTTTTTACAATATTTTTTGCCATACAATGTTTTTTTGTAATTATTAATTAAAAAATTATATATTTTTAGGACAGTGTTTTATTTAGATACCCCTACCTACTTAATGTTAATTTAAAATTTTAAGTAATTTTGGTTAACATCATAGGCAAATATATAGTAAATGCCAATAAACTATAAACCAATAAATATTAAAAATCGAAAGGTAACTTGAATTCGCTTGTATTTGAATTTACTTGTACTTGGATTTACCTACATGAAAAATCAGCAAGTATCATGCAAAACTATTGTCATATACTCTGAAGGCAATTCTCTCACCAGAAATCAAATCACGACTAGTGAAAGACTGTCTAGAAGACCTGACAGAGCTAAGTAGTTAAAATAAGATGACCTTAGCCTGGGTTACAGGCCATGAGGGATATCAGGGCAACGAAAAGGCCGACAAATTAGCCCGAGGAGGCTCAGATAAGGCCATGACAGGCCCCGGACCCTTCTGTGGAGTTGCTAAGGCATTGTGCAAGACATCCATTAAACAATGGATGCAAACAGAGTCTCAGGAATGGTGGAACAACTATCCAAGACTGAGACAGGCCAAACAGTTCATCAAGGAACCATCGGCCAAGTTCACGAAAGACCTACTGGATCAAAAGCGTAAAATCGTTAGGATAACAGTAGGCCTTCTTACTGGACACTGTCACCTCAAAAGGCACATGAGTGTCATAAATCCAGCAGAAGAAGCAACTTTGTGCAGGTTCTGTGAAGAAGAAGAGGAAACAATATTCCACGTCCTGTGCCAATGTGAATGTCTGGCTGGAACGAGGTTTCTAACATTGGGCGAAGAAAAACCAAATGCATGCAACTACATGCGGGAGCCACTGTCAAAGTTACTAAGACTAATAAAAAGACCAGGCTAGACGACATACTCTAAAACAAACAGAAGTCCCACAATAGATCTGAAAAGGTCGCAGTGGACAATGACAAATAACGTCCAACTCATAATCTAATCTACCTACATGAAAAAAACATAATTATATTACTAAAAAAATATATCTACATATTTACGTATTTTTTTAACATACTACTCTGACAGTACTGGTAAGTTTAAAACTCTACGCCACTGGCGAGCATATTATGCTCGCAGCGTTGCCAGCCGGTCATAAGAGATCTGAATTTCTCTCTTCCACTCACTAACAATTTTAAAACAATAACAGTCGGCAATTGTATGGGATTTATGAATGAAACAGTGTGTCTATATGTTGTAATGTCTTTTATTTGGCCCAACCCTTGATAGACCCGTTGCTTCCTATCGCGCGGTAAATATACGACACCATACAAATCTGACGAACCTGGACTCGTTGTTGGCCCGGTCCCGGTCCAGGTCCGTTATATCAACACGTCCAACAAACAATAAATTTCCTCGTCACCAATACTAGTGTTTTTCATTTATTAATTATTGTTATTATAATGATTAAAACGTTAATGGTAGATTACTCATTTCATTTTATGACACTACTTCCTAACGGCTTATCTTAATATGAAATCTTGCGATACGCGTATAGTAAATAAATATTGCAAATACCGCAACTTTAGAGTACACTAAAGCGATTTAAATAGTAAACATTTTTTATCTAAAATCTAAATTTAAAACTATATTCATTGATTAAAAATTATAACTTAGCATATGATATTTTATTTTTAGTGGTTTGGATAGTGTAGCTTCGAAACAATGTGTTCTGTTATTAAAGCAGATGGCCATATCAGGAAAGACAATAATATGCTCCATACATCAACCTAGTGCACCAATTTTTGAAATTTTCGACCACTTATACCTCATAGCCAATAGTAAATGTTTGTACGAAGGTAGTGTAAAGGGAGTGTTGCCATATCTGGAACAATGTGATTTGAAATGTCCTACTTACCACAATCCTGCCGATTATTGTAAGTATTTCTTTTTTTTATAAGTTATACAGCTGATAAAACTGTTGTTTCCCAATATACGTAAAATATATCTATTCGTAGCCCTTTAAAATAAAATAGTGCTAAATGTGTCATATTTAAATATTATCTTTATAACAGAGTTAAATTAGACAGTGATCTCAGTGTTCAATAATATATAAAATGCGGCTTAACACAAGATATTGTACTGGGCCCATTGCAGTGGCGTAGCAAGGGGGTGGGGCAAGCGGGGCATCATGCCCCGGGCGCTACTCACAAAGGGGCGCCAAAAAAAAAAATTGCTGGATAATTTTTATTTTTATTATAATTGATTTCTGGAAAATATATTTTAAATTTAGTGCCAGTGTAATATAATAAATTTTATTTTTTAAATAAAAAGGAACACCAATAGTCTAAATTAAACTATAATAATATATTCATAATAGAAATGGTACATCTTTTCTACTGGCATGATGTATCTTTAGAAGCGAACATTCAGTCCGAAAAAGAACGGTGGCGAAATATATTGCAAAGAATATTAGCTTGCATGAGGTATTTAATTATACAAAATCTTCCTCTACGTGGCCATGTTAAAAACTAATACTTCAAGATGGTACAAATGTAGGAAACCTATGATTTTTACTTAGACATGTAGCTCAGTTTGATCAGCTACTAGTAAATCATCTTAAACATGCCTCAGAAACTCCAAAAACTGTCTCATATTTGTCACCACAGATTCAAAATATATTCATTTATCTTCTGGCATCTCCAGTTCGAAATCAACTAATAAACGATATCAAAAGAAATAAATATTATGAACTTTTGTTTGATTCAACTCCTGATATCTCTCATCGAGAACAAATGTCCCAAGTCGTTAGGTATGTATATGTTGATTTTATCATTAAAAAAGTTTCCATCGAAGAATCTTTTTTGGGTTTTATTGAAACACATGCTAAAGATGCAGCCTCGATCGAAAATACAATTTTAGAGAAATTAAATTCATTAACAAACTGCAGATCACAATGTTACGATATGCTGCCGTGATGGCAGGTCACACATCTGGCGTTCTACAAAGAATAATGGAAAAAAATCATAAAGCATTATTTGCAAATTGTAATAACCATTCATTAAATTTAGTAGGAGTTACTACAGCTAAACAAGATCCAATCGTTGTATCATGTTTTAGAATAATTGAAGAAAACATAAATCTTTTTTTTTCCCGTTCAACGTTATGATGGGAATTATTAAAAAATGCTTTAACAAAAACTGTCAAACGTGAATCTGAAACACGATGGAGCGCCAGAATACAAGCGGTTAGAGTTATCGTCGATGGGCTAGAGCACGTGTTACTTAAAGTGTGGTCCGCGGAGCCCTGGGGCTTCGCAAAGCTTTTGTGGGGGCTACACCAAGACAATAATAGTCACAATATTAATAAAAAAAGCAGTACTATTGCAATAAAAAATCAGCACTATCGCAACAAAGGGACTTGACTTGAGGAAGGAGGATATAATTTTGAGGACTTTTTGTGGGGGCTCCGCGAAGAAAAGGGAGGGTCCTGGCTAGAGCAAAGATTAATTTGGTCGGAGGACCTGTTTTTTAGAAATGTGTATAGGGCCCCGTTAAATATTTCGCTTTTCAAAAAGGTTCCGTCACCAAAAAAGTTTGAGAACCACTGGGCTAGAGAATATAGTAGAACTATTAGAAAAATTAGCATAGGACACTAACACTACAAGTGACTTCAGAAGTGAAGCTACAATTCTGTTGCAAAATATAGTAACTTTTAGTTTCATAACTTTAGTTCATATCTGGTATAAAATCTTAAGGAGGATTGATCGTGTGCAGCTCAGATTACAAGATCCTAGAATGAATTTTAGAGAAGCGTTCCATGATCTTGAATCATTAGCGACTCAACTAGCTGAAATTCGAGACAAGGTCTGTGAAGAGGCAATAGAAAAAGTGAAGTCTCTTTGTAAAAAATAGGATATTGATACAATATGTGTAAGAAGACGCCGAAAATGCCCGGAGAATTGGCTAAAGATGTTGGTCTTTCCGCATAAAGTGAAATTTCTCGCGTTATAAAAATCGTTTTTGATCGTCTCCAACAAGAAATATGTACACGATACACGATTAAGTGACCTTAATTTTAAATTTCTACTAGACGTTGAAAATTTATTAAACAAGGATAATGTTGATAACGTCCTTGAAAAAAATTGTACAAATGGGTGAATTTTGTAAAACAGATTTCAATGGAATAGAACTTTCAATCGAAATATGTGACTGCAAAATGCTACTCTGCAGTAAAAAAGAAACTGGACATAAACTTCATTAGAATTTCTTACTTTTATAATCTCGTATGGAGAAGATGTTCTTCCCACCCTGAGAGTGGCACTTCAAATACTCACTACTATCTATCTCAGTATCAATTGCTAGATGCGAACGTTCATTCAGTAAATTAAAATTAATTTTGACATATCTACGATCAACGATGGGACAAGATCGCCTAAGTGACCTAACAATTTTAAGTGTGGAAAGAGAAAAATTTGAAATTATCAACTTTGATGATATTATTGATAAATTTGCTATATCAAAAGGAAGGAATATTTATACATAATAATTAGTTTTATTAATGTATTATATTCATATTGTTACGGAGCACCTTGTATCGTGCTGCGGTCATCATAAGTAAAGGTACGAGTAAATGAAGAAGATAGAATATTCCCGAAAAGTCTCGAAATGTCATTCCTTGTCAAAGAAAAGTCCAGATTGTTCGAGAAGTTTCCAGAACGGAAGGCAAGCTATATAAGGCGACGACCTGACGTCAGAGTTCAGTTTTATGATAGACGTTAAACGTTAATGTTATCAGTTGAAGTCATTGTATCAGTTGTATAATTGTTGTTAAAGTTTAGTTCAAATAAATTGTGATACCAAAAACCAGCGTAACATTGGTGACAGCAGTGGGATATAAAGTAAAAGTTCATGGTAAATACTAGATCCACTGAATACGAAGCAGGCATAGATACGTCGGACCCACCAGCATGGTTTTTGAAGATGGAAGAGGATAGAAAACAGCGAGATGAAAAGGAAAGGCGAGAAGAGGAGAAGGAAAGGCACAAGAAGGAAGAAGGACAAGAAAAGGCGCAAGAAGGAAGAAAAAGAGGACAAGGAAAAGCGTAGGAAAGCAGAAGAAGAGGAAAAGGAAAGGCACAGGAAGGACGAAGAGGAGGAGAAGGAGGAGAGGCACAGAAAAGAAGCGATTGAAATTATGAACGGTTTGCTACAAATGCAGGAAACTTTCAAGCAAGAGGTTGGTCAGCTTAACAGTAAAGTAACAGTAAACTAATTTGGAGCAACAACAAGAGCATCTAAAAATTCAGTTAGAACAGCAGCAACAGAATTTAAAAACCAATTAAGAACAACAAGAGAATTTAAAACAACAGGAAAAGGCTAGAGTAGAGTTCGAAAGGCAAATTAGAACTGAACTAGTTGAGTTAGAAAGAAGAATTCGTAGTCTAGCTTCGATAAGCAACAGAGAAGCTAAAAACACTACCTCGTCCTCATTTGTAATCGAACCAAGCCATATTCAACACCCAGTTTCACAAATCCATACTAGCAAGATCTTTAAGCCACTCACGTTTGACGGTCAGACAACCTGGGAAACGTATCGCCTCCAATTTGAAGCTGCAGCCAGAGCCAATGGCTGAACCGAGAAAGAGATGGCGGCTTCATTGATAGTGTCACTGCGAGGTCAGGCATCAACCGTTTTACAGTAACTTCCCCAAAAGGAACCCAATTATTCATCTCCCGTCCAAGCTTTGGAGACAAGATATGGCCAGCCGCATTTGCAACGGGTATTCCAAAGCCAGCTAAAGGTTAGTAGTCAGAAACATAATGAAAGTCTACAGGAATTCGGGGCTGACATAATAATATTGACTCATCTGGCCTATCCACAGGCGCCCAAAGATTTCCAAGAACAAATCGAAATAGAGGCATTCATTGATGGACTATAAGATGCGGAAATGCAGTAAGTCCTTCGTCTACAACATCACAAGAGAAACTAATTGCAGCCCAGGAATATGAAGCGGTAAAACTCATTTCCAGATCTTCTCGAGCAAAAATGAGAGAAATTAAATCCCAGGAAAGTGAGGATCCCAATGCTAATGCTATTCCCCAACCTACCCTCTCGCAAATGTTAAATGTCCTGCAAAATATACAACGAAATAGCCAAAATTGGAACAGAAGATGCTTCAATTGCGGAAGAATCGGGCACCTTCAAAGAACCTGTAGTTTTCTATAAATAGAGAATCAGGGAATGAGGCCGGAAAGTCACAAAGATCAATCTTCCGAAGCCCGTCACGAAGTCCAACGAGAAATAGTCACAGCAGCTATGCGTCCCGAAGTAGCCAATCACCCACACCGAAGATAGAATATTCCAGAAAAGTCTCGAAATGTCATTCTTTGTCAAAGAAAAGTCCAGATTGTTTGAGAAGTTTCCAGAAGGGAAGGCAAGCCTTATAAGGCGACGACCTGATGTCAGAGTTCAGTTTTATGATAGACGTTAAACGTTAATGTTATCAGTTGAAGTCATTGTATCAGTTGTATAATTGTTGTTGTTTAAGTTTAGTTAAAATAAATTGTGATACCAAAAACCAGCGTAACAATATTATTATTAAATATATGTATCTCCTTAGAGATAATAAATATTTACTTTATTATTGTTTTAAAACGCCGTGTTTTTAAAATATTTCTTTATAAATATGTAAAATAAATAATAGGTATCTTTTGACCTAATTCTAGATTAATCATGTACATTTGAAAATCTAGTCTTGTTTTCTCAACCACATTTTTGTCTCAAATTTAAAGCCTTGTTTGATCCTATGACTTTATTTATTTTACTTTATTTATTTATTAATTTTCGAGTACATTTTACATATAATACCATATGGTCTTCGAATGAGTTGGGGGGGGGGGGGGGGCGCTAAAAAGGTATTGTGCCCTGAGCGCCAATTGAGCTCGCTACGCCACTAGCCCATTGATGAAATGAAATGGAAGTTACTCTTTTCTGTTTTATTTTCACCCTTCTCTTCAGGATTTTTTCTTTGTAAAATAACAATTTCTGACATTTGCTCACATAAATTTAGGTGTGTACCTACCACATACTAAAATAGCTACACCACAACTATAAAACAATTGTTTTTTTTATTGAAAAAATAGTTTCCAGTATTTATAACTTTTTAAAAATATTGATCTACTGTAACTGTTTTATGAATAAACTTTTTATCATAATTTTAGTATTAGAAGTGGCCAGTGGAGAATATGGTGATTATGCAACAATTTTAGCTGACAAATCCGAAAATGGATTAAATTCAGAATGGAGGAAAACGAAGAGAGACTCCGTACAGATGGAATCTCTTGAACACATTGGTAGGTACTACAATTTTTATATTTCATACGGGATATTTACTACGATATATTAATATATTATTATGATTCCAACAGCGACCACGAAAAGTCACTGATCGTCAAGATTCTGCGCTGTAGATTATTTAATGACTATTTCTGATTGTTCTACTTCTTAGTTTACTTTAGTGCCTTATTAGTCTTCGTATAAGTTTGGTGTTATCCAGGAGCTGGATATCTTCAACTGTCTCAATTCTCAGGTAAATGAGCAATGTATTATTTGCTTACTTACTTACTTACTTCCAAGCAGCCAATACAATTTTTTGTACTTTATACCAAATTTTCCTCATATTTATCTAACTCTACAGCCAAGTTTAGTTCGTGCCCAGAAACGTTATGGAATTTGCGTAAGCAATTTGAACATCATTTATTCTAACAGGTATACTATGATTTTGTTAATGAAGTTGAAGTTGACAATATATTAAGCGCCATTGTTATAGTTCAAATGTTAATCCTAATTTCTTTTAATTCAGCATAAGCCCTTTCTGAAGTAGTTTTCTGATAGGTATCATTTTAAAAGTTGAGGAAGTACTGTTAAAGCAGCTCCCTATTGAATTTGGTCACAAACCTGTGCAGCATCTACAAACATAGTGGAGCAGACTTTATTCTCATTATTTCTCAATAATGACTGTGATCCTATGTAGTTGGTCAATGGTCGAGTAAGTATCTCTGAAACCAAATTGATGGTATATACTCTTCTAATCTCTTTATAGTAGAGCATAGATATAATAAGCTACAAAGAGATTGGCCTATACAATAGAACTTCATCCAATGAGAAAGGTGATTTTCATGATATCTTTTCTTAAAAGTTATTTAAATACTCATGTAACCAAATTGAAACCAAGGTGTTTCGTCGGATTGATGTTAGTTTTAGTCCCATCAGATAGTTTTTTGCGGAAGTAGATCTAATTAGAATTATCAAGTTACGATTATTCGGCTTTATGTGCATTGTTTTAAGCCCAACTGCCATTTACGTTTCTAATGGGTATATTTTGTAGGCCCACCCTTAGGGTCCCTTATGATTTTATTAAAATTTTACCTTAATTACACCCCTTTTCGATATTCAAAGAAAACTATTCTTACCTTTATAGGTCGACTTTCTCTTCTAATAGTGATCATTTAGTTTATTAAGATTATTTTCACACCCACCTACGTTGTTATTTTGTATAAAATTTTCCATAATGTAATACAAAGTTTGGTGCAAATCAGTAAATAAAATTAAGGTATTCAAAATATATTTAACTCAATGGTTTTTATTGAAAATCATAAATAATTTATCAAATTTCAATAATAAGACCTTTATCTTTAATTTGGTTGAATAACATATTTTAAAATACTTTTTTTGAGTCAAATCCTTGATGGACACCTGATACTGGTTTTACCTTTCACCGGTAGTGTGGGATTCCAGGTTCTGTTGTGCAAGTCTAATAACTAAAACCACCTCCTTGCCATCTGAAGCCCCTGTATCATTTTTCCGTCAATTATTTGAAGTCTTAAAGAATACTTCTTCGTTTCACAACATAATGATTTTTAGACAGTTCGCTTGTTGCCAAACAAGCAACACCGGTTTTTGTGCGAGACAAATAGCAGCGATAAGTTTACTGTTTAATACCAAAGTCCATAAAAAAAACATGTCTAGTTCAAGTGATGGGGAAGAATTTTCCGGATTTATGGATGTAGATCAACACTTGAATGAAAAATCGCTAGATGAATTTATCGGAATCTCCAAAGAAGGCTAATAGATAAGAACGGAGAATAGAGCGACACCTCCAAAACACCAGTTAGAGATAACGAAGGATATTCAGTTGTTTCTTATAAAAAAACACAAAGCAAGTCCAAAACCAAAATAATTATATTCCGTCAAATAAAAATACAGGGAGATCCTTAAATTTCTCACCACACATGAAAGAGTTCCAACAAAAACAATTTAATAATATGTTCTATATCAACACCAATAATACCATTAGTAATAGAATCCAAATGGCTGATTTGTGGGAAGAAACGAGACCAAATAATAGTGATATAATAAGACAAAAAAGGGCTTTCTGCTAAAAAGTGATACTGCTAAAGCGCTATTAGAAAATGCACTAAAGATTTTAAAAAATAAAAATAAAATTTTGAAATATAGCGCAACAATACCCTACAATCAAGCTTCAAGAGATAACAAAATTCCAGCGACTCAAGTCTACTCTTGTGTTATTGCCTCTGTCGAAAACGAAATATTAGACAAAAAATTGTCTCATCTGGAGGGAATTCCACTACTATAAACGAATAATCTCAAAAAAGACAGACACTCCAACAAACTTCATAAGAATTATCACAAAAAATCTAAAATTTTACGAAAAACCTCTCTGAAGGATTACATTACAAATCCTGCCATTATGCTATACGAGCTCTCCGCCGCCCCCAGCCCCAATGCCTTGCAATAAGTGTTTGACGTTTTCCCACTCAACAGAAAACTGCACAGAAACAACAAAATGCAACAAATGTTCTGAAGCACATTCCACGAACAAGGGTCCAACCTCGCTACCCCCAAAATGCAGTGGATGTGGCTCAGAAGATCATCAAGCTTGGATGTCCTAAAAGACCAACAAAACCAATAACAGAAATTCTCAACTTACCAGTAAAAACATTAAATAAAAAATCTTACCAAATTAAGGACAATATGAAAATGAACAGAATCCACCCCCCAATAATGGTTCATGACATAATAATAAATTATTATTTACAAAAGCTGAACAAACCCAAACACATCAACAGAGAGGAGTTAATAGAAAGACTACGAAAATGATTCATGGCGGAATACAGAATAGATACCACTGTAACATTTGTAGGAAACAACTGGATTTACATCTTGATGTTTGACATGGAACTAGACAACTATCTCCCACTGAAACTATACCAGGATCGCAAGTATCTCACATTCAACAACGAATTAAAATATTATACAATAACATAAACAGTTACTTTCAAAAGAAATATTTAGTGAACTATACGATAGAAAGAAAGTTAATAGACTGTGCCCTATTTGTAGAAACTAAAACCAATGCGGAAACCAATACCAACTATAGAAATTGGGATATAGTAAGACACGACGGAAATATTTTAAACCAAAATATAAGAGGAGGATCACTTATGCAAATAAATCCAAAGCTAAAAATTCAAAAACAAAACCCGCCCCGCATAAACGATCCCCGAAATGATGCTCTACACGTCAGTATCCCATTCAATGATGACAACCCAGCTAGCACAAAAACATCCCATCTACGTTAATAAGCTGCAATTTTAGGCTCTTTAAGCTCGCATGCAATGTACTGTAAATGTAACCCTTATCTCCCTGCAACTACCGAATGTCTGCAACGGCAAGACTTTTATAGCACATCTCACAGAAGTTACAAAGTGAAGTTCGAAAAACATCACACTAGCACTTTTACGGTACTTACCCCGAAAGTTGCTCTGAAACGTTCTATTGATGTTATAATGTGAATTAGATCTACAGCATTATACAGTGTGTCCACGGATGGGCTTAACTATACTTGTGAAAATATTTATTTTAAATTATAAAAGTAATTCTTCATAATTTCTTGCTTGTTAAATAAATTCGATTCACATTGAGAAATTATGAAAAATAACTTTTTCTTTAATTTAAAATAAATATTTTTACAAGTATAATTAAGTCCATCCGTGGACACACATTGTGTAATGTAATACAGAGAGGCTGAAATTGAGGCTATAGTAAAATCTCAATCGAGACATAAAAATTTCAAATAAAACAAAATATTTATATAAATTTATTATTAAAATGTTCTTGAAATCAAGTACCAATAGCACAAAAGTAGAGGTAGGTGTAGGTGTGTTCTTTTATTCAGTGCTGTATCCAGCGCTTGCAGCAAACCGTTCGTAAATTAAGTGATGGAAAGACGATTGTATGTGTCAATCATTCTTTTTTCCAGCGGTGAATTCACCAATGAGCCAAGGCATCCATCGGCTTTAAAAGCCGATGGATATGTGATAGACGAATGGTGAGGATAATCAATCATTTAAGTTAACCTAAAATATAAGAGTTCAAATATAAAACGACTGCAGAATAGATAAATTACATCAATCACTGATGGAACAATTATTGAATAAAAGAACACACCTTATATCACAAACACAAGTACTGTCACGCTTAACGGTTAGGGGGTGGTAATTATTCTTTTTAAAGTGATTAGGGGTCCTCGCTTGGCTTGAGAGGTAAAAATAGATAATCACCCACTTCCGCTAAGCGCGCTCTAGCCGATGTTAATCTCAAAAGGCTCAGATTAACTTCTTGGTTTAGAAGGAATCTGCGCCACTTAAGATGAACCTCGGGTGACTTAAATTACTGTATAGAGAACTAAACTAGTTATAATAGAAACACCATGTATAAAAAATCAACAAACACTTTATTAAATGTCCGTAATTAAAGGACTCAAAAGACAATCAAAAATCGATATAATAATAAAATTTGGGGTCCTTACCTCATTGTCATGGAGCAGTCACAATTTTCACTTTATTTTATTTTATCCCCAGAAATATTTATTAGTATTTATTTTGTATAATTATATTTTTATGTTATATATATTTTACAAACCCCAATTATTTTCTCTGTGATCGATTGCGACCACCTTTTTTGCCGTCCCGCAAAACTCTCAATGACCCCCTAAAATAAACCGACTAGGTTCGATTTCGCAAGACTTCCAAAATCGTCGAGTCAGCACCAAGTTCATTAGTTTTTAACTTAATTGTTATGAAACTATGAAATGCATTCTCTACGATTTAAAAGTATTTCGAAATCGACCTACTATTCAGAAATAATTTAACATACAGGATGTTAAATTATTTACTGAGCCGAATGAAAATAAATTAATTCCATTTAAGGAATAATTGTGACATGCCTCCCCTCCGAGAAAACCGGACCCCGGTTTTAAAAGTGACAAATATGTT